AGAATCGTCAGGATCGTCAGGTCCAGTGGATCCGGTGGGTGCGGTGGGTCCGGTGGGTCTGGTGGGTCCAGTGGGTCCGGTGCGTCCGGTGGGTCCGGTGGGCCCCGTGGGTCCGGTGGGTCCGGTGGGTCCGGTGGGTCCGGTGGGTCCGGTGGGTCCGGTGGGTCCGGTGGGTCCGGCGGGTCCAGTGGCCCCGGTGGGTCCAGCGCGGTCCGGCGCAACCCCAGGGCGAACCATTCTGAAATAGCGCGCGCGTCGCGCGAGAAGCCGATCTCCGCGGCCAGAGGAAAGAACGCGCTCGACGCATCCACCCCGTCTCTGGGAGTGCCCCAAGTATTGCCGCCATAGGTATCCACGCATTTCCGTTGCCAGCAAGGCCCGCGCCGCTGGGGTCGAGGAGCGGAGGGGAAGGGGGGGCAGAACTGCGCCACTGCTGACAGGTAGGCACGCCGCTGCATCTCGGCGACGCGCGCGCACCACCCGCGCCACTGCCGCTCATCGATAAGTCTGGCGACGGCCTCGCTGCATTCCCTTCTCGTCGGCTCGCTGGGCCGACCAGGGCAAAGCTTCGGGCTCGCTGCGGGAATCGAAATCGAGAACTTCTGAGGCTGCTGCTTCGGCGCATGCCGCCGCGCCTGCACCTGCTGCTGGAGCAAGCCCTGGGCCGAGACCTCCATCGCCTGAGCTCGCGCCGGCCCCGCTTCCAGCAGCGTCGTCGTCGAACAGGTCGGCGCCCGTCGGGCCGGCGAGCGGAGGCGTCGCGGCCCGATCAGCAGCATGACGCATGCCAACATCGACATCAACGTCGAACGGGGACAAGCCGTGCTCGGCGTCCTGCTCCGCCCGCTTGCGCGCCAACACCTCCGCGTAGAGCGCGAAACGATGGGACTCGAACAAATTGCCAGTTTCGTCTGGGTCCTCGGACGGATCCTTCATATCGAACAACATGAGAGGCGCAACCGAAGTAGGCAATGCTTCCACAAACTCCTTGCGCAAGACATGCTGCACCAAAAGACTGTCGAACTTCTCTTGAGTCTATCTAAACATCTCGTATTGCTTAGTGACCTGCATAGAGAACTAATATGTCTTGATTTCTGGCCGCTGCATTCGGTGTCCCGTGTTGTTGTGCACTGCGACTTCTGGCTTGACGCTGGCCAGCTGCTCATGTGCCTCTTGAAGTTGGACGTCAAGGGCTTGTTTAGCCGAGCCACTGCCTGGAACCCGCTCGACAGAAACCCAGGCCTGCCTTGCATCTGCTTGTTCGTTTTCGCTCGATGGCGGCGACGGGCCAATCCCACCTCCAGGATCCATGGAAGTACTGCCACTACCACCAGAAACCAACTTGCCGAACTTCTTATGCAATTATGTTTGCTGTTTGTTTGTTGAGAACTGACTCACTGCGTTTCTCCACAAGGCCCACCCCAGACGCCGCGAGGCGGCTGGCGATGACCAGGGGGAGAACTTGCATGATAACGAGCGGCTTTGGCAACCTGAAGGCGGCCGCCTTGCTGCATCGGCACACCAGACTCGCGGCCCAATTCTTGTTGAGCCCGCAAACACCGCACGACCAGAACGGCAAGCGAGGTCCTGGGAGAACGTCGCCACCATCAGCCACGCAGGAACCTCGATTCGCAGAAGGGATACTCCAGCAGGAGCTCAGTGGATTAAAGCGCGAGGGCAGAGATCCCTCGAACTGAAAACAAAAAGACTCGCCATAGCGACTGCCGCTGAGAAGACTGCTGTGGCAAGCCCAACCCTCGGCCAGAACGGTTCGAACCGAAATAGCTACGGGAGGAGGAGGAGGAGGAGGAGGAGGAGGAGGAGGAGGAGGAAGACGGGGAGGGGGAGGGGGAGGGGGAAGGGGAGGGGGAGCGGGGAGAGGGGAGAGGGGAGGGGGAGGCTCGAGGGGGGGGAGAAGGAGGAGGAGGAGGAAGAGGGGGAGGAGGAGGAAAATGAAGAAAGGGCTGATATGTGTAAAAGGTGTGGGAATGTGGAGGTACGTTTGGACCCCTCCCTACGGCCGTACTCGGTGGCCGAGGGGCCGTAGGGAAGTCCTCGGCCCCCTCCGTTGGCAATTGGCGCCATAAGGTAAGAAGTGTACAAAATTGGGACAAGACCCCCAGCAGCCCCTAGGATGGCAGCTGCCGATGGGGGTGGGGCCTATGATGGCCCCCACCAGAGTGGCTGAGGCCTTTGATGGTTCTCGCCGGGGAAAGGGGGGGGAAAGGTCGACGAACGCGGCGTTGTAGTACAGCATGAATCCTGAAGCGTAGAATCCTGACAGGGAAAGTGGAACTAGGGGCCGAAAAACGGGGAGGGCGAAGGAGATGGGTGCACAACCTGGGCGGGCAAATCGTATACCCCCCCGCCGGCCCCAGACATGGCCGAGGGGCACTGCCTCGATAGAGGATGGGCCGGCACGCCCGTTCCAGCACCGAGTCCGCGACACGGGCGACGTGGGAGATGGAGAACAGAAATTCGCACCCGCCTGAGCCCTGGAGAGTCCCGTGTGAGGTGGTGTCGTGTTTTTCACCCTCCCGGCCGGTGACCTTCCACGGCCGTCGGCGGCCTCAAAAAGGTCACAGGAGGGACCTCAAGGCCGGTGGCCTTCCACGGTTCCTCGGCGGCCTCCAAACAGGTCAGTGGCTAGGGACCTCTTGGCCGGTGACCTCCCACGGCCTTCGGCGGCGATTAGCATAGCATTGCCTTGCTTGGACTTGCTTGGGTAAGCAAGATGTTAACAAAGTTGCCCCCCCAATCGAGCGGGGGGGACCCCATTTTGTTAAGGCTGGGCGCAGCCTCATATCGTCACCCCCCCCCAACACTTTCAGCACACTCCGCATGCTCGGACGTATCAGGAGGCAACGAAAAAGCAATACTCCAAGGCAGGCGCCCCACACCAAAGACCCCACAGATCGCCTCCAGAGCACGTTCCAGAGCAGGAGGAGGAGGGGGAAGAGAGAGAGGAGGAGGGGGCATGGGAAGGGAAAACAAGGCTTCCGCCGCCTTCGGCCGACCTTCCGCCGGCCATACTATTTTCTTCCGATGCGGCAGTGAAGACACGGGGGACAACGACGGCGACGACGACGACGAGAACGACGACGACGACGACGACGACGACGGCGACGAGGAGGACGACGACGGCGACGAAGACGACGACGACGACGACGACGAACGACGACAACGAGGCCGACAGCGACGAAGAAGCGCCCCAAAGACCCGTCGAACGACCGACACGACAGACGACAACGAATTTCAGCGAACCCGTCCTGGGACAGGTCTGCTTGGGACCGCATGAATGACACCGCGGTGGCACATGTGACACCGCGGCGGCACGGGCCGAACCGTCACCAGGGTGGTTGGGTTGCACAGCGACGCCGCATGAGTGACACGGGAGGCTGACGGAACCGCGTGGCACGGACGACGCTGGGCGACCCTTGGAGTACTGGCGAACTGGTGGCTTATGACGCCATGATGTCACGGGGAGTGGTGTAATGACATTGACAGGCACAGTCAGCCAGCAGGGGATAAATCCCGTTCACGGCCCCATCGAGGAAAATGAGGAACGGTGTGATATGTGTAAAAGGTGCGGGAATGTGGAGGTACGTTTCGACCACTCGCTACGGCCGTCTTCGGTGGCCGAGGGGCCATAGGGAGGTCCTCGGCCCCCTCCGTTGGCAATTGGCGCCGCAAGGTAAGAAGTGTACAACATGGGGACAAGACCCCCAGCAGCCCCTATGATGGCAGCTGCCGATGGGGGATGGGGCCTATGATGGTCCCCACAAGGATGGCTGAGGCCTTTGATGGTCCTCGCCGGGGAGGAGGAGGAGGAGGAGGAGGAGGAGGAGGAGGAGGAGAAGGAGGAGGAGGAGGAGGAGAAGGAGGAGGAGGAGGAGGAATGAGGAGGAGGAGGAGGGAGGAGAGGGAGGGGAGGGAGGAGGAGGAGGAGGAGGAGGAGGAGGAGGAGGAGGAGGAGGAGGAGGAGGAAGGAGGGAGAAGGAGGAGGAGGAGGAGGGAGGAGGAGAAGGAGGAGGAGGAGGAGAAAGGTAGGGAAGGGTCCAGACCACCTGGGGGTCTTGTTTCTCTCCGTCTGCGAGGCCCCCGGGGGCCACAGCAGGAGCGGGGCCGCGGCGCGGCAGCTGCTGCCCAAGCAGGGGCCCGGGGGCCCCCCGGGGCCGCGGAGAAGGATCCTGTCGGGGGATGTTGCGGGGGGGGGAGACGCAGGGAAAGGAGGGAGGCAAGGGAGCGAGGGAGGGGGGCAGGGGGAGGGGCGAAGGCTGCTTCGAAGAAGGCTGCTTCCCAGAAGGCGCCAGGAAGCTTCCTGAAGGAAGGGAGGGAGGGAGACGGAGGGGAAGGAAGGGGAGGCGCAGGGGAATCCTGGCGACTCCATTTTTTCGAGCTGGGCGTTTGCGCCTTTTTTCGGGTCCCCCAGGCGTTTGCGCCTTTTTTCGGGTCCCAAGACCCTGACAGGTCGATCCGGCTCGAGCCGGGCGTTTTCGCCTTTTTTCGTGTCCCACAGGCGTTTTCGCCTTTTCTCGGTCCCCAGGACACTCACAGGTCGATCCGGCTCGGAAAATGACGCAGAAAGATAGGGTCCAGGGCTCCGGGCGCGGGTTTTCACGATGTTGCAACTTTGTCGCTACGTCGGATCTCAGGGTCGTAGGCGCCCGTGCCCTTGGTGGGCAACGTAGCTTTCGCCACGCAGCTCGCACTGCACAGCTTACGTCGCGTCGCTTACACAGCATAGCCTGCAACGCAGAGCGTACACGATGCAGCTCACACCACGTCGGTCACACCGCATGGCTTGCACAACTTAGCTCACACCACATGGCTCACACTGCAGATCCTACACAGCATAACTAACACTACATACGCTGCACGTCTATATGTGTATATATATACTGATATACACATATATATATGTGTGTATATCACCTCCAGAATGCAATAGCTCACTGTTTGGGGTCCACACTGGCTAACACATTACAATAACTAAATGTTTGGCGGAACACTCGAGGAATAGTTGGCAGCTGCTAATAATGGAGCGGTTTGCGAAGGAACGCCATGCGCATCAACAAACGACGACACACGGCAACTGACACACGCAGAAACCGTCACACGCTGGATGCACGCAAATTCTCTGCCTCGCCTTTCTTCACCTCTGACTGGGACCCGGGCACTCACACGCTGCAAGGGCAACGCGTCCCTTCTTCGCTGCGGTGTGCAACGATGGTGCGCCAAGTGAAATTGATGCGAGGGGCGTCCACTCCCGGCTCTCGGGGAACGCGATGCTGCCAATGCTTCTGCAGCATGCCCTCCATGGTGATGATATCGCCACCATTAAGCTTCACACGCACTTGCTCGCGCTGCGGCCCACAAATACGACGACGACGCATATCAAAGTACCGAGTGGCTCCTAATGACAAGCTGACTATACAACAATCACGCAGCGTTCCTTCGAAAATCGGTTCATCATCGGCATGCCAATCTACCGAGTGGGTGCCATTAGCATAGTAATTCAGAAGGCATGAGTTGGGCTTCACCAGTTCATCACTATCGCAAGGTCCTACAAGCTCTTTCCAGACCGCATCCTCAATATCGAGAAGCCATTCAGGCATGTCCTGTGGAGCCCAGTGGGTGCCGCTGAAATCATAAGCACAGCTGCATCCAGGGCGCACATACCATGCAGCGTATCTCGGCAAAAGTGCGCCACCCTTCACCTCGGGCTGTTCCCAGCATGGACGGGTTGATGCATTGCACCACCAAGTTTCAAGTTGCTCGCTACTGAAAGGGCAAGACAGATATGAACTAAAGCTGCGAGTTGAAGCATCACTAATCACTGGCTTGAGCCTCGTGCCAACTATCAACCGCAAAGGTCGCTCCCTCAGAGTTAGCTCTTTCTGCGTACGACACGTTACATACCATAGCCAAGATTGGAACGCAACAACGGCAGCTACTGCGGAACATACATCAACGCATGTTTGGCCGTGAGGACCAAAATAGTCGCACGTCGAACTCTCTACCGTGAAACTCCCCACGTTAGCAAGTATGAAGGTTTCCCATGGCTTGAAATCTGAACCACCTGCGAGTGCCAAAAAAGAGTCCACGGCTGCTGAGCGCTGCATTGCAACGAGCACGGCAGATTCGCACAGACGACACATGGCAGGCCCCTTTTCGTACAAGCAGTCACGAGATACCCTCGGGAAGTAATTGGAAGGCAAGCTGAATCCGCAGCACTTGCAATCGGCAGCTTCAAGCGTGGGCAGTGCTTTCAAGCGCTCCGCACAGATCCACCCACGGCCAACCGAGGCTGCATCCACCAGAGAAGCGCCGTCTCCAATCGACAGTGCTTTCACTTTCGTGCCTGGCTTTAGTACTACTTGGTCGTTGGGACATGTCAGATTGCAGTCATCGAAGATGCATGCCGTGCCCTTTCCAGTCACGACATGCGAAGGGAAGGGGACACTGTCGCGAATAGCACGGCCATGGCGAACGGGATCCAGCACTCGCACCATTCCGTTACCTTGGACGCCACAACGGAGCACGATCGAACAGCAAAGTCAAATTCCTCATTTCCAAAGTGTCCCCGCATAGAAATGGCTGCGCAACGCACACATACTGCTTGGCTGGTAGCCCTGAGCAGTAACAGCCTTGAGCCGACTTCCAAATGGTTGAGGAAGCCATGCGCTGGAACTTTCGAAGTCTTTCGAGCTCGGATGCTTGAACACTCCAGCGCTTAAATGCCTGCCCACACGACTTCTATCTTGATAACCCAAAGCCCCTGGTCCAATCATTTCGAGCATCCGGCTACATCGAACAGGTCGTCGCCCGAAAGAGTCAAACGCATGGTCGACATCAGTTTCTGACTCAAGCTGATGAGTGGATTCGCACTAGAGCGTAAGAAGCTGCACACAACCCCTCTTGGATCGGCGCTGGACCTCTCCCTGGCGCGCGGAGCGCGCCAGGCGCCGCCAGTGGGCGCCCAGCACCGTCGCGAGACATCTGCACGGACCTCCAAAGGTTTCCTGTTCGTCGTCGTCTTCATCGATCGTCGTCGTCGTCGATCGTCGTCTTCGTCATCGTCGTCGATCGTCGTCGTCCTCTTCGTCGTCGTCGATCGTCGTCGTCGCCGTCGTTTTCGTTGTCGTCGTCGGCGTCGTCCTCGTCCTCGTCCTCGTCGTCGTCGTCGATCGTCATCGCTTTCGCCGTCGTCGTCGTCGATCGTCGTCGTCGCCGTCGTTTTCGTTGTCGTCGTCGGCGTCGTCCTCGGCCTCGTCCTCGTCGTCGTCGTCGTCGATCGTCGTCGCTTTCGCCGTCGTCGTCGCCGTCGTTTCCATTGTCATCGTCGTCGTCCTCGTCCTCGTCCTCGTCGTCGATCGTCGTCGCTTTCGTCGTCGTCGTCGTCGTCGTCGTCGGTCGATCGTCGTCCCCCTCCGCAGGGTCCTCGCCGCGGGCGGGGGGAGACGCGCGCACCGCGGGTCGCGCCCGTCGTCCACGCCGAGGTCCGCCCCCGCCAAAAAAGCTCGGGGCCACGGGCCCCGTGGGTCAACGAGTCGGGGGAACTGGCCGGGGTCTCATGGTTAGAGGCCTCCTAGATGGGGTCGGAGTAGATGAGGTCAGAGGATCGCGCCGCATCGCCGATACATCGGCGATGCATCGCCGATGCATCGTCGATACATCGGCGATACATCGCCGATGCCCGGGATCTCAGGGTGCCCTGAGATCCGAACTCTACCCCCGCAGCCCATCGAGTCGCCTGAATCTTGGAGGCCTGGAAGTGGGCACCAACGCCAACACAGAGGGCTGCCCCCACAAGGGGAAGACGATCCTGGACTTCGGTGTCGGTGGCAAGGTTCCGGCCACCTTGGGAAGCCAGAATATTACCACCATCACAAAGATCGGGATCTTCTTCCCTCGGTGGAGGCACACCGCCGATGTTGGTGTTGGTGTCAACATCTAGGCTTGCGAGAATCGCTGATCGGCTAGGGTCAGGTTCGGAGTTCGCCGCCGAGACCTGCACCTCCGCACGACCGCGAGCCCTCGTCCCCCTTCACTGGCCTGCTGGTGGGGGTCGATTTCCCCGGGGTCAGAGTCAGCGAAGGGCGCACCGTGGAAACAAAACAGATCTGAGGGAAATACAGGCCTGGGCGAAGGGTCCAAAGGAACCGCCAAGGAATAGCCAAGGAAAACATATTTGCTGAGGCAAATGCGGCCCCGAACGAGGCACATCACAAGAAGTGAACTTCCCTGAGATCAAATTTTTTTCTGATCATTATTGCTTGCCAGCGGTGGCCCTAGAAATTGGGCTCCGGAGCGTAGAAGCCGAGGCCGCCCGAGACAGCAGTGGACGCAAGGTGTGCTTGCGATGGCACACGTGTAGATTTAGCAGTCCTTCCTTCTGCCCCCCTTTCCGTTCCCCTTCCCGTCCCCCTTCCTGCCTCTTCTCCTCCCGTGACCTGCCCCTGTCTGTAGTCAGCCGCCTTTCTCTATTTTCACGTCTGGTTGCCATACGTGCAATCTTGCCCACGCGTTTGCAGGACGCAAGGCTTCAGTGAGTCAGATGCAACATCGTGAAAAATCACGACCGATCCCGAGACCCCATCTTTCTGCGCCATGTTTCGGGCCGAGTCGATCTGGGAAGGGCCCAGGGCCCAAAACTCTTCGAAAACGCCAGGCCCGAACAAAGATGAGACGCCCGGATCTCATGATGCCCTCTTCCCGACCCCCCAAAAGGTTGACACCCACCAGCAGGCGAAAGGACCACCGGTCGGGGCGAGGTCGCGCAGTTGCCCCGCGGCTGCGAGGCTACGACCAGGGTCACCAGGTGCCCTCTTCCTGTGAGGGGCAACGGTAGAGGGCGACTGGCACAGGGGGGAAACATCGACCTGGAATCGGCGATACGTCGCCGACAGATCGGCGGTAGGCCCCCGAGAGAAAATCCGCACGCTCTGGGGCTGGGTCTGGTTATCAGACCCCTGACGACGATCAATGGGCGATTGGGGGTCGATGCATCCCCCCCTATGTCTATGCCGCCCTGTCGTTGCCCTTTGGCTCTCGGGCGATACCTCCGCTCTCTGGCTGCCGTTTGGCAATACCGACAGGACCACCCTACGGGTGATAAAGGAGGTTGGGGGGGTGGAGGGGGAGGCGGTCGATTTGCGATGGCTCTGGGTTCTTTGGTGGTTTCTTCAACTATTCTGTTGTCGCGCACATCTGCCGGTCTATCTATCGACCTACCTATCTAGTGATCTAGTGATCGATTTAGGACAGCCATATATCTCCATATATGAATATAGATATTTATATACATATCTATACATATATATATATACATATCAGTATAGACATAGATAGATCGATACACCCATATAGTTCTATAGATAATATATATATATATATATATATATATATATGTATAAGTAAATGTACACATCTCAGTCGATACATACATGTGTATATATATCCCCATATCTCTCCAAATCTGTATATATATCGATCTAGCTATAGTATATACATGTGTGCGTATAGATAGGTCTATCTCTCTACACACATACATATATATATACATGTATACACAGCTGTTTCTAGCAATCTATATATGTATATACATATATATATATATATCACTATCACTTCCAACCATCGGGACAACCATCGGGACAAGCATCGGGACAACCATCGGGGCAAGCATCGGGAAAACCATCGGGACCAACATCTTGACAACATCTAACAAGATCTATCTACCTGTAGCTCTATATGTATATATATAAGTATCAACCATGGGGACAACCATCATTCCATTCCGCCTCCACTCCTCCTCCATTCCTCCTCCATTCCTCCTCCATTCCTCCTCCATTCCTCCTCCATTCCTCCTCCATTCCTCCTCCATTCCTCTTCCTCCTCGTCCTCCTCCTCCTCTCCTCCTCTTCCTCCTCCTGAGTCTCATGAAGGAGGCGCTCGGGCGAGCACGACCTGACGCTGCACCAATGCACGCCGAGATGCCCCGCTGCCCCCCCGCAATCGGCTGCAAGCGAGGGGGGGAAGTTTCGGGTTCGAGGCTCGAGGCTTTCGGCTCGGGGTGCTTGCTAGCAACCGCGCCTCGCCGAGGTTCGTTCCAGGGGTGCCCGGATCGTCCCGAACGCCCGCCGGAGACCTGAGCAATGACCCAAAGACCGAATTCGGCGGCGAGCGAGGGGGGCAAGTGAGAAGGAGAAGGCCTTCTCGGAAGGCGGTGGGGCTTCGGCTGGGGGGACTTGCGAGCCTTCTGAGAAGGCCCGCCCCTCCTCGGACGCTTGGTGGCTTTTCGGTCCCAACTCGGCTCTCCGGTGACCATTCGGGACGATCCGGGCACCCCCAGACCGCTCTCGGCGAGGCGCAGCTGCTGGAGTGCACCCCGAGGCTGGAAGACCGCCGGGAGCCGACGACGACGCCCGAAAATCTGGAACCCCGAACCCGAAACCCTTGAGGCCTCCCCCCCTCGCTCGCCGCCGACAGAAGGGTGGCCCCCTAGATGGGGTCCGAGTAGACAGGGGTCGGAGGATCGCGCCGCATCGCCAACGAATCGCCGATGTATCGGCGGCGATGCATCGGCGACGTGGGCGATGCATCGGCCACGTCGGCGTTGGGAAACACGGGTTCCACATTGAGCCGCATCGCCGATGCATCGGCGATGCGGCGCGATCCTCCGACTGGGAGGCCTAGACAAAAAGGGTGGCCCCCGCCAGCAGGCGAAGGGATACGTCGAGCCAACACGCGACGTATCGATACGGACGTTCTGAGCACGGCACGTGTTGCGCATCAAAAGGGGCGTATCGAGGCAGCTCAGATCGGGGGTTGGTGGGGGGAAACGTCCACGACTCGTGCCCCCAGGGGGGGGGTCCCTCGCTCGCCGCCGACAGAGGGCCGGCCCCCGCCCGCGTGGCGAAGGGGCGGCGCGGTCCGGGCGCGGCCGCGCCGCAGCCCCCCGCGGCTGCCGCGGCGGGGGGCGGCGAACCCCGCCCTTTGCGCCCCTGCCCCCGCGCGGCCGGCGGCGGCGACGACGACGACGGCGCCGACGACGACGGCGAGGGCGAGGGCGAGGGCGAGGAGGAGGACGACGGCGACGAGAACGACGAAGACGACGACGAGGGCGAGGACGAAGGCGGGGAAGGGGAGGACGACGGCGACGAGAACAGCGAGGACGACGGCGGACGAGGAAGCGGAGGGGAAGGGACGACGACGCGGTCGGGGCGAGGCCGCGCCTTTACCCCGCGGCTGCGACGGCGGGGGGGGCGGCCCGCCCTTCGCGCCCTTGCCCCCGCGCGGCGGCGGCGGCGGCACGGGCCCGACGCCCTTGCCTACAGGAACAAGAGGCGGCAGAAACATAAAACGGCCTCCTCTTCCTCCTCCTCCTCCTCCTCCTCCTCCTCCTCCTCCTCTTCTTCTTCTTCTTCTTCTTCTTCTTCTTCTTCTTCTTCTTCTTCTTCTTCTTCTTATTATTATTATTATTATTATTATTCTTAGTATTTTTCTTATTATTCTTATTCTTCTTCTTATTATTCTGATTCTTCTTCTTATTCTTCTTATTAGTATTCTTCTTCTTATTAGTATTATTATTCTTATTATTCTTCTTCTTCTTATTATTATTAATCTTATTATTATTATTGTTATTCCTCTTCGTATTCTTAATATTTTTCTTATTATTAATTATGTTACTATTATTATGATTCTTATTATTATTCGTAATAGTATTATTATTAGTATCAGTATTATTACTATTAGTATTACTATTACTACTCCTATTTTTATTATTATCATTATTAGTATTAGTATTACTAGTATTACTATTATTATCTTTATTAGTATTGTTGTTATTGTTATTATTAATATTATGTTTCTTCTTATTCTTCTTATTCTTATTATTATTATTCTTATTATTCTTATTATTATCATTATTCCTCTTCCTCTTCCTCTTCCTCCTCCTCCTCCTCCTCCTCCTCCTCCTCCTCCTCCTCCTCCCCAACTCCTCCCCAACTCCAAATCCACCCCCTCCTTTTCCTCCTCCTCTCGTCCTCGTACAGTCGGAGGCCAATGAGCTGACCCCGGGCGCCCGAGGGCGCCACCGAACGGCAACATCTTGGAGGTCTACGCAGAGTCCTCGGACTTCAGCGCTGGAGCCCCCTCCCTGACGCGCGCGCCAGGAGCGGCGCCAGAGGCCCCGCCGATGGGGGACCACGCGCGGATCCAAGAAGTCCGCGCGGCTTTCCGAAACAGCCTCGCCAGGCGGGCGCCGTCAGGGCGCCCCGGGCCAGCTTTCTGGCCGCGGACTGCGCGAGGAAAAAAAGGAGGAGGAGGAGGAGGAGGAAGAGGAAGAGGAGGAGAGTAGAAATGAGGAAATAAGAATGCTTTTGCTTCAAGCGGAACGTGCAGAGAAATAAACGCCAATATTGCCAGCACGGGAACACTGCAGGCTCCCATACCCCAGGGTCAGAAAGGCAGCGGACAGGCTGGGTGAGAAACAAAGAAGGCAGCAGGAAAAAGGACAGACCTACTGCTCGAGTCTGGTGTTCAAACGAATCCGTGGTGCCATTGAAATGACAACACAACGGGAGGGTTCTAGCAACCGCCCCTTCATAAAAAAAGTTGCCTCTCGGGTGGACGCGTTGACTTGGTTTTGGCAGGTCTCAGGGCGACCGGACTTCGTTCCAGCCCAAAGGCAAATTGGCCCCCCGCGGCGCCCAACGCAAAAAACATCTGTGGCAGGGTCGGATACTACTCCCGGTGGAACCCTTAAGACTAGCCAGAGCACGCCAACATATTCCCCCACACACAAGAAAGTGCGAGAAAACTAGAGGAAAGCCTGCTGAGGCAACCGCGAGCTGCCTGGACACAGTCCGAGCAAGCCCGCTCTCTCGAGAGCTCCACTCATCAGTCACGCCCGTTGATGTCCGCAGGCACGGAGCACGCATCCCACCCCTAGTGGGCAAATGCGGCCCTTGGAAGTAGATTCGTTTTCCGGCTCCGTGTGACCTCGCGACGCAGTCTGCCCGAGTGAACTATGCTGTGAATTCGGGACGGCCTTCTTCAGCTTCTCGTCGCTGAACTCGACCGCGGCGTGGTCATAAGTCATAGCTTATCTGGCCGCCCATCGCGCTGAGGATTAGCTATCGACCCATGCTGGCCCTGGTCATGGGGTCGGCCCGCATGTCCCGAGTGTCGCACCAGTGCAAATGGTCGATCTGCTCGGTGCGCAGCTAGTCGGCTAACCACCACAGATGGCCGGACACGCTGTTCTCGGACGGCGGCCGGGCCGGGCCCATGAGCAGGGCGCTGAAGACGGGCGCGCCGTGCATGACGAGGTCTGCAAGGATCGCGAAAACTCCATCCCCCCTCAGTCCCCCGATCTCCTCGGCAGAGGCGGGGTCGCGCACCATCTCGCGCACGCGCGAGGAGGCGCGCGTGCGCGCCGACCACTGCATCGCATGCTGCGAGCAGCTCGGAGCCGAATCAGGATCTGCACGCAAGCTTGCGCGATCGGCGCACTGCGCTCAGCAGGTGGCACACCTGTTTGCCGGCGCGGCGGCGCTTGCCGAGGCGCATGTAAGCAGCCCCTCTCGTTCCTCGTCCTGCCTCCCCCTCCCTCTCGAAGGACCCGTCGCTGCGCGCGCTGGGCGCGCTCCATTGATGGAAATGCGACGCGCGCCTTGATCTTCTGCGTGGCCAGAACAACGGAGTTAAACTGCATCGCGCGCCAGATGAGCAGCTCGTTCTTGGCTCTCTGCCGGGCGACGATGCACGCTGCGACGCGGTGCTGGGCGAGCAGGGCGTAGGCCGCTGCTCCCACGAGGGAAACAAGGAGGTCGGGAAGCCCACCTCCAGCGGGCTTCTCAGCATTGACCTTGACCAGGCCGACGTGTCTCATCGGAATCAGAACGTCGATGTACTCGTCCTGCTCGTGCGTCACGGTGCCATCGGCACTGCGGTGCTGGTGCACTCCACAGTCATCCTTCATCCTGCCGAAGACGCCCTCGATGTGGCTGATCAGAAGGTCGACGTGCCGCGTGCCAAGCAGCCCTCAGGTCGACGACATGCTTGGACAACGTGAACACTAGCTTCGAGACGCCGGCAGCACATCTGCTGGGCTGGGCGTCACGAGCTCGCACTCAAGCTCCGTGTCCCACCTGAAAGGTTTGGCGCTGCGCTCGGGCGAGCGCGTGACCCGGGTGAACTTCGTGGAGAAAGCCCTGGGCGCATCCTCGCAGCCCGCGCCCGGTTCGACGGAGCGCAGGCACTCGGTCCACTCGTCGAAGCCCCCGTAGTCAGGCACCTGGCACCTTCCTGAGGACGGCTGCACTGCCGGGTGGCAGGGTGAAATTCACCTCTCGAAGTGCTCGCCTTGTACCTGACTCTCTGCAGAGGTCGCGCCCTGCAGGAGCGCCTTCTCGACGTCAACGGCGAAGGGCGCCCGTTCGGGGCAAAGCGCCGCCGCTGAAGATAGCAAGCGCTGAGACGCCCGCAGGTTGGCATCGCGCTTGACGACCGCGGTCTCGACGGGGGCATAAAAATGTTAATCGCGGCTGTCTGAGGAGCGCCGGCGACACAGTCGCCGGACGCAGCCTCTCTGAAGCTCAGGAATGCTTCCCGCATCCCTGGATCAAGATACAAATCCGCATGTCTACCTACATCGTCCTCGTCCTCTGGCGTGGCGTAATCGCCCAAGAAGGCCCCGCGCAAGTAGTAGTGGCTCTGCGCGCGGACGCTCTGACGCTGGCGCTGCGTCTCGGTGCTGGGGCCACTCGCGCGGCCTACGGCCTAGGTCGGCCACGGCGTGCTCGACGGCAGCAGACATCTCACGCTGGCTGTCGGCGCTCTCCAGCTCCACCAGCTCCTGGGTTAGCTCTTCTGACCCCTCGACTTCGCGCCAGGCTGTCAACGTCGCCTGTTGGGCGCGGCTGGAAAGTCGTTGCAGGACTCCTCTGGTGTAGCCGGCAGGGCTGACGGTGATCCACCTCGGGGGTGCTGGCGGTGTCCTGGGGAACGTCGATGACGCAGTCGTCGAGCGTTCCGTCTACGTCCTGTCCGGCGTCTGTCACCATTATACTGGCTCACACTGGACAACGCGATCTTCTTCCCCGTGCGATGCTCGCCGATGAGCTGGCGGGCGTCGAGCCTCACGCCGCTGAGGTGGATCTGCCGGACGTCGGAAGGGTTGCGAGGGAACCGCCAGATGGCCAGGCCGCGGGCGCATTCTGGCCAGCTGCCCACAGATTTCTGTCCGCGCATGAGTCGCACAGAGCGAACGCCAGGTGGTTGGAGGCATCTGCAGAACAACAGGCGCATGGCTTGGAGGATGTCCGGGCGTTGTCGCGCCTACTCGGCCTGCTGCGCGCCCGTGGCTGGGGGCCCGGGCCCCGGAGCCTGGCGCCGAGCGCTCCAGGTAGTCCTCCGCGCGGCCCCAGGCCAATCCTGCTCGCGCCATGCCGACGCCCATCTCGTCGAAGACAGCACCGACGAAGGCCCGGACATCCTGCAGTCTGCAGACCATCACGGTCTGGCGGTGCTCAACCGCCACTTCGCCTCGAGCCGGGTCCACAGACATGACTGCCCCAGGGCCAGCCAAGCCAAACACGTTCTTGGTGCGTAGCGGTCAGTGGATCCCCACCTGGTCGCCCTCGTTGAAGCGGGCCCCCCCAGACTCAGCGGACCGGGGCCCGCGGGCACTGTTGGCGCGCGCAGTCGGTGTGGCTTCGATCGTACGTTGCAGAGCGATCTCTCGGATGCGGCACTGCAGCCGGCTGGGCTGCACTTCCCCTCCATCAGGTGGCTCGGCACGAGCGACGCAGTCGCTGGATGCCCCACCCTGCTTGTCTGCTTCGAGCGATGGCACTGCCGCCCGAAGACGACGTCGCTTGGCGCAACGCACGTTGCATGGCGTAGCTGTTGCCAGCAAAGACGGCACGCGCTAGCATGGAATCTACGTTCGTCGCGATGCCTTCGCGCTCCAGCTGCTCCTCCGCGGCGCGAGGTGCTCGTCGCAGCATGGCCCCGCGCCGCTCGACGAATCGAGCATGCTGTCGCAAGGCATGGCGCGCAGGTCAACCTGAACCCCCCTCCTCTTCATCTCCTCCACGAAATACGTTGAGGTCACCCCGCCCTCGCCGTCCACGGCCCAAGTCCCCATCGGGCCGAACAGCTGGACCCATGAGCGGTCGACGGGGGCAAGCAGCGTCGAGCCGCGCTTGGACGCGACCTGATGATGTCACCGCGAGGCGCAACAGATCAGGGGGATAATCGTGCCCTCCGTGTAGAACAGGATGTCGCATTCGCCTTGCTGGTTGAATCGCGTCGAATGGCGGAA